GAAACGACAGGAAGACCTTGCCAAACGTACCCATTCTTGCCTCATCTGGCGTAGTAGTCATGATGATTGCCAGTATCGGTCCGATGCCTTGTTACATTCGCAGACAATTGGCTGGCATCGTAGTCGGCCTCGACAGTGAGATGCGGCATCTTTAGCACAGTGTTACAACTTATTAAATTGACAAGTAAGGGCATTCCCCTTAAAAAGTTTTCCGTTAAGCAGTCGTGAAACCTTATCCCCCTATTTTTGTCCAAGCTTCTTGTGCTGCATCCCTTCCTCTCAACCTCATTTATCTATTCACACAATACTGTGTCCTCATTTCCTCCAATGTTGTCTAAGTGTATGTTGCTTCGAGTGGATTTAGTGAAGCGTAATCTCCTTTACCACCGATTTCTGATGCCATTCTTAGGGCTAAGGTGATTACGCTTCGCTAAATCCACTTGAAGTAACACACGCCTAGGCAAAATTGGAGGAAATGAAACCTCAGAATGGTCTGGATAGATAAATAGGCCATATAAAGTAGGGTTGATAATGAGGGATACAGCCATAAAAACTGGGATAAAAATAGGGGAGGAGGGATGCCACAACAGTTAAACGTAAACTTGATTAAAGGGGTTGCTTTAGATTGTCACTTTGATACGTTGTAACTCTGTGTTAATGATGGCCCCTCTAAATGCCTAGGCCAAATACGATGCCTTCGAAACCTCTAAGAATGTAGCAAGTCATCGATTTGATATTGGAAATCATCATGAATACTATGGCCAAGGAGACAGAACTAGTTACGTTCAACAAAGTCTCCCTGTGGCCCAGACCAAGTTGCAAAAACGAGTTAAAACTAACACAATTATTAATTTATTGTAATATATAGACAAAACTAATGGCTTTATCTTTAGAAGACGCAAGGTTTGCGAAAGAGAGAAGGATGTTGAGCCGCCATCAAAAAGAAAACAACTCAACTTGTCTGCTCGGTGATGGTTCAAATTTCACTCACATTTGTCCAACATGTTAGAGTAGGCTCATCAATCAAACCAGACATGACAGATTACGCAACCCCAGTCTTGCCTTTCCTTTGGAGGTTAAATGTTAATGACCCTAGACTGAAAGGTTAGGACAAGTGGTTTCGTAACATGAATTTAATGCTTACAAACTCATATTTCATTATCTCAACCATACTTGTTTAGGAACTCAAACAGTCTCGATCAAGGATTTCTCTTGGGTCATTAGGTCTTGAGGATCAAAATCTGAGATTAAGGCGTTGACAACTCTGATTTAGGAACCGTATTGCATATAGACACTAACACGCACACATACACATACGCATACACTCGAGTAAAAGTAACAGGACCAGTATGAAAGATAATTAGCCGAACCATCCTATATCAATGCATCTAGGTTTTTAATTTTCTTTTGGCTCAATCGAGTCTATATAAGAAGTAAGATAGAGCCGGATAGTGTTCTTGCTTTAGTGTTAACGTGAGACTTTTACAAGAATGAAACCCAGTTCTGCTGATGTCCATCATATGATGGACGAAAGCTCAGCATGTTTTTACCCGAAACGAGGGAGAAAGTTTGTTGGACTGCGTCAACATGAATATCGTATAAAAGCCAAACGGCGGCAATACAACGAGATTCATCCGTCCTCATCTGGTGAGATCGACCAACGAATCCCTTCTTCATTCACTTTCATACGAAATAAAAGTCCCCTTAACAATGCATTTAAAAAGAAAAATATGAATAGTATTTAGGAAATTCGGAAATAAATTATTAACTCAACGTAAATCAAAGCCAAGACATCTAATATGAAAACATAAAAATTTATCATAATCTATTTCTAAGGCTTAATACCCTTACCAGAAATAGCTGCATTGCTTTCTGCTCCAGAATCAAACTTAACAAGCTTTATAGTTAGCTCAGTTTCATCATTAATGCATGGTCGTTGCTTAAAATGTACTGCTGTGTGATCGGTCATCTCAAGCGCAATGCGCATTGTCTCTCCGAAGTTTAATGATATTCCGTTTGGCAATGTCTGTTAAATCAAGAAAGTTAGTATGGAAATTTCAAAAGAGGATGGAATATTTATGTTAGTATGAAGTCTCATTTATATGTCCAGTATTCTAAATATTTTTTTATAGCTTGGGATAATAACTAAGCCATAGTTATTATCTGATTAAAACTACCATTATCCATATTAATTAATGCATGGGAAATTTATTGCTGTGTTTTATCCAGGTGCCTAACATAAATGTGCAAAAGGACTTAACTAATAAAACAATGCAATTTCACATTAACCCTAATTATTTTTGTAGCGGAATTACAAAATTACTACTTATAAAAGTTCTAAACTTTACTGAAATCCGCTTGGTAATCAGGTTTCCGGTCAAGCCTAAAGCATGTTAGCATAACGTTTCATTTCAAAGGTTTCATTGCATTATGGAGAGCCAGGCATTCAAATTAATTGCAACTTGTATTTCTTTCAAACTTTTGGATATATGTGCTCATAAAATTGGCGCATCAGGAGCATAAGGCAATTCGCATTTTATTTGTGACTATTTATTTTGGTGTAGAAGTCCTTAAAAGATTCCCCTCGGCCATGATTAAACTAAGCAAAGAAGGATAGGAGAATGCAAACCCTAATATTGGTTTTAAACTAATAATGATACCTTAATTAGGTACGCATTATTTATTTTGGAAAATAATACCAATTCTTTCTTCCTTTCCGAAGAATGTAATCAAGTTATATGGAATCAAGCATTCGTTTTTCCCATGAAATAGCTTTTAATGTGATTCTGCGATTATGATGCCCTTTATCTTTTACTTTTCAAAGCAATTTTATATCAGTATCATATAAATTGCATTTTATACATTATTTTATACCGTTATCTGATTAACCAGTTACCAATTATTAGGCCCAAGTTAAATTTTCATAAGAGTTATTATAAATAAGCAAAATCATGTCGAAAATAGCTTAGTTTTTGTTACCTGAGGGGGGAAGTTAGGAAATGTTCCTGGTTCATGTAGCACCATGTAGAAACCATCCTGAGCAAATTGACCCTTCAGCGCCTCTTCTCTGTTTACTGCCTTATCATAAGGCTCGTAGATTGATTGTAAAAGTTCCGGGTCTTCCTCACGTACCAACAACTCTGGTGGGCTGCTGTTGTTTCCACGATAGAGTAACAACCGAATCCCGTTCGTGGCACCGGCAGGGATAGGTGGTTCCGGACGAACGCGAAGCGTAAAACATCGGAAATACATAGGATGCTCAGTAATGATGAAGTCCTCAATGCACTCTGCTTGGCTCACCTGTTCGTTATTGTGAATCAAAATCAATTATTATTATAGATTAGACTAATTAAAAGGCATTGTCAACTTTATGTAAAGGACACGCATATCCAGTTAAAGTAAACTGAATAATTTGTACATGAATTTTGAGTAAAAAAAATTAATTAAGTATGGTTATTGCTTGAAATATCTGTGTGATATTGTTGGAATGACGTTACTTAGGAAATCAATAGAGAAATTATTTCGCATAAATAAAAAGCTATATTATTCATCTTAATCTCATTTAATAGTATAACAAACTAATACTCATTTATATAAGTGAAAAATAGCGTTAAATAGCCAATTGTCAATTGATACAATTCTTTAAGTTTTGAGGCTAGAAAGAAGCAAAAATAATAAATATTATCCAGTTATACGTAAACGATTGTTATATTTCAGGATACTTTAAGTAAACAAGGAGCTGATATTTACAATTAGACGGAAAGTCGACCAGAATCTGAAGCATCATTTTGATTTCAATTCAATAGGCTGAATCAATTATGGTAAGAAGGATCATGGTACCAAGCAAAGAAATTTTATACCATGATTCTTAATTGCTTGAATGGTGCTTAAATGGTTTTTATATACTATGACACTTTTAGAGCTAGATAACCGGAATAAAGCACGAATTTGGATACTTAATCAAATAATTTATATATATGAGAGGCGGATATCCTTTACGTTTATAGAAAGTTTTATGGGGCACTAGTTGATTTATGTTAATATATAATTGGTAGGTGGATTTTCACATAATGAAAATAGTAAGACTCACTTTTAAGTGAATTTCACATAGCTTTGTTTCCCAAGGATGTATCCTAATCTAGGGAACAATGCAGTTTCTAACTCGGCTAGGCGTTATCGGCACCCATTACGTTAAACGAATAGGGCGAATACATCTCATATATTTTATCTATTGGTAGTATACAGTGAAACTAAGTAATGGTGTCGAATGCTATAGCATGTACATCTTTGATTCATTGACAATCTCACGACCGAATTGGCATACGAGAAAGGCATAGGCTTCCTGAAAATTCAATTAAACTATGCCACGCTGTGGCCCAAGGACATTTGTGGCAGTGTGGCCCAGTAGCTAAATTGTCAAGACTGTACTCTGCTCTACTTGGGTCTGGGTCCCATTGAGGATAGGGATGAGACCTAGGCGCGATCGAAACCTCAGTCCACTCTGGATGTGAATACCTTTTTCGAACACAAGGCCTGCACATATCATGATTGGAAAATTCAACAAACAGGCCTCCATCATCCTAAAAGATATAGAGCGGCTACATCTCAAATATATTTCTATCAATGCAAATTATTAATTTCAGAATCAAGAAATCTAGATTTTTTCTTATTAATATACATATTACAGCCTTGACATATTTTAGACTTAAGTAGTGCTTTTTAAACATAAAAGCTATTTAAACGGTTTGGGTAATTAGTAGATGGGAA